ACGCTCGGCCTCGAGCGAGGTAAATAGACCTTATAGTAACGCAGCGTTTTAACCTATTAGAGCTATATATAGTGAAACCTTAGTTAATAAGTGCATACTATTATTGTACACGAATTCTGTAGGCTATAGGAGATTAACCCAATCCTTAGGGTTCTCGTTAATATAACTAAGCAGGTACTGGGATAGGGTAGCATTAGGTCTCTCTGTTTAACGGTTAGTGGGTAGATAGAAGGCTATTAATAGCCGATGCTTTAGTCTAAGCTAGAGGCATATTTCGCTCGAAGAGTACAATATGAATGTAGAGCCCCTATCGGAGACTATGCCCTTAGGGGTTCCGTTATAGGTATAGAAGATACTAACCTTATTATTCCCTTTTTTCATAGCCGTCTCCTCCTTTCGAGTAGGAATGTAGGGAGCGCCCTTATTCCCTTATTGGGGGGGGGGGGGGGGGGCGATAGTAAGGTTCTAGGGCGTCTAGTAAGTATATCGACTTTTTTTTGTACTAGATATATAATTTTCGCTAAGTCTACGAGTTGCGCGCGTTTTAAAAGCGCTCGCGAGGTAGGGTCGCCCTCGAATTTAGGATTTCCTATATAAAAGTAGCTAGCTAGCGGACCTACTTTAGGAGCGGAACCGCCTTATATAGAAATCGTATCCTAGTATATTCGAAGGATATATATAGGAGAGCAGTATCTTAAGTTCCTTAACTCTTATAACTACTAACTCTATCCTATTAAGGAGTATATCTTTAAAAACCCCTCCGCTAAGGGAAACTAGGTAATACTTTACGATAGCTTCTACGTAAATATTAAATTAAAGTTAACTAAATTAGAAATATTCGAGGTATAAATCGTACTATCCGTAGGCTAATTTTAAACGGCGAGGCTATCTACTAGCTTATAAGACCTGCGTATAATACCGCGATAAACTAGCTGCTAAGAGACGACGGTCTCGGCGCTCGCCTAGCCCTATAATCGAGGGTAAGGCCCCTAATCGGTACCGAAGCTATATAGTATTAAGGAAAGAGTACTTATTTATTATCGTAGGGCGTACTTAGACGTACGTTTATAAATATATACACTGCGATTAAGCGAGATAGCGGACGGGGGTAATCCCCGTAAGCGGCAGCTAGCTTGAAAGCGTTAGACGTAGACTTTTTAAAGGTGCGGATAATTCCTTTAGGTAGTACGCTAGCTTTAACCAGTTAGATCCCGTTTTCAGGGATCACCGCCGTCCGCCATCTCGCTAAATCGCGGTGTATAAACAAAGGCCGACGTATTCATAGACGAGCTCCTAATGCTTCCATCTGTGCGATATGTTGCCTCTTCGGGACATATGAGTCAGCTCGCTTAAATGCAGCACTCAGCGCCCATGTAAAGCCGCGCCACAGTAGCGCCCAGCTAGACTCCATGCCAAGGGAGCTGAACTTGCTACATCGTCTTTCTGGTCACTTGCTGCCAGTGACAATGCAGATGGACGCTACAGGCCAAGACCATTTTTGGCAAAATGCCAGTGTATAAGCCACTCAACCAAGAAAATCGCGAAATTCGAATTCTTTTGCTACTTCCATGTGAGCAGAACGGCCTGGTGCGAGCCAGGTTGCAGCCGCTTTCCTTGAATTCGTGCAACAACTCTGCGAACAGTCCTTCAAGTCAGAATCGCGCTCCTGCTGATAGCATCGGCGGTTCCAACAGTCCCGTTGCATTCAGTACTGCACTTCCACCAGATCCTCTGCTAGCAGGAACGACCAACGACGTTGCTAAGGTCTTGAGGATTGCAAATGAAGTTTTGGAAAACTCTGTAGCTAAGCAGCATGATATCGCAAACATGGTCAGGCCTCTGGTCAGCGCTCTCGAAGAGTTGCAAGCCGCTAAGGACTGGCAAGACCGGGAGTGGCAAGAATGGAAGCTGAAGTACTGGAGCTCCATCCAGGATGCCTCTGCATTTCTAAATGAGCAGCAAATGGCTGGGTGCCATTATGAAGCTGTCTCATATTGCTGGGATCGACAAAATGCTAGGGCGCCAATGGAGCTCAACGGAACCATCTTCGACGCGCCAGGGAGTGCTGTTGAAGTTCTGAAACGGTTTGCAAAAGACAATGATCATCGAGCGCTGTGGATTGATGCACTTTGTATTAATCAGCAGGACACGAGAGAACGTGAGAGTCAGATCTTGATGATGGGCGACATATATCGCTTTGCCACGAGGACATTAGTGTGGCTTGGTCCAGGAGATATGCAAACTACAGACGCTCTGGATTTCTGCAGCTTGGTCTTGGAACAACTTCCAGAAGACATCGTGGATCTTCCCACTGCCCGATTTCGACAAGCGCTACAGGCCGTGCGAACGCCAGATGATGCAGGCGTGAAGAAACTTGGTCACATTTTCTATCGAGAATGGTTCACTTGTCAGTGGGTACTCCAAGAGGTGGTGCCAGCCAAGCAACATATCTGCTTTCTCGGTGATGAAATCGTCGAATGGCGCGATATTGAGGTACTGACCGCGTGGGCATACGAAACCAAACAGTGGGAAAGATTAAGAAGACTACCTGAGCTCCCATGCATGACACTGAGCATTCGTCGTGGAGAACCTATGTTTCAGAACCTGTCCGCTTTGGCTCTACAGTCTCGCAAGCTGCTGGCAACGAATTCGCGAGACAAAATCTACGGTTTGCTATCAATGACCCGCTGGGAGGAACACGGAAAAGCGCTGCCGAAAGCAATCAGACCGAATTACCGGGAATCGCTAAGCTCTTGTATGTGTCGAGCAACCAAAGCAATGATCGAAGAAGATCAGAATCTGTCAGTTCTGGAAGAAGTCGAAACCCAGTGGCGTGCCAAGCCAACATGGAATTATGACTTGAAGGAGTGCGACATCCCATGGCCTTCGTGGTGCCCGCAATGGCACATCCCCAAGACTGATACCCAAGCAGTGATTCCGCGCCTCGGAGGCAGGTGGTACTCTACACCTGGAACGAGGCCTGCCAGTTCAGTGAAGTGGTCTGGTCTCAAGGAATCTCAAGACCTACGTGCATTGATAGTAGAAGGGTTTTGCATCGACACCGTCCTGGCGTCACGGATCACCTATGACCTCGGATCGACGAGGATCAAAAGTTTTCTACTGCAAGACGACTTCTTCGCTGCTAATACCAACCATTCTGGTACAGAGGCTATCTCGCGCCCACCAATGAGTCTGGAAACGATCGTAGAAGTCCTGACTGCAGGTCAAGTGCTCCTGCTGAAAGATCATGGCATCGGCGTCGAAGAGCGATTATTCGATGATTACAAGCGCGATGGCATCCTCAAAGCCCCAAATAGCCCAAATCCAGAAGTAGCCCTTGGTAACGTCAGCGTTCAGTTTCCTCTGGATCCCAGTGCGGGTAGACACTTGTTTTTGACAAAAACAGGTCGGTAAGGGCTTGGTTCGTCAAGCATGCGTACTCACGACATCGTGGTCGTGCTGTACGGCAGTGCTTGGCCTTTCGCGCTTTCTGCTGAGGGCGAGGGCTATCGCCTCGTTGGAGCTTGCTATGTGCAGGGAATGACGAACGATGGCATGACTGTAGAGTGTGAACAGAAAGGACTCATGCGGGAGACTTTCGAGCTGAGATGATCGAGCGGAAACAAGATCATGACTAGAAGTATTATATCAATCAGCTATTCGTGTTCAAAGCCCATTTTCTCAACCTCTAGCGTATGCCGCGCATTGGTGATATCAAATGCATCCTTCGTGGTACTATCCATATCCACGACATTACCAAGCACTTCTAAAAATCTCGACCAGCTGAAGACAAGGTCCGAAGGTCGTTGTGCATATGCAGGGACCGGGGGTGGAAGGACCGGGGGTGGTGCAAGCCTGAGGATGACTCAGCTTCGTCCAGTTCACCAACAACCTCTTCAGCAGCATTTCTTCGCCCAATCATCCCGCTCCCCGAACGGCGCTGATGCTGTGTGACGCCAAAGCAGGGAATGGTATCTTGGCGCAGAGCTGCCACATCGGCTGGAAGTGCGCCATGAAGAGCCGATGCCGACGTGTGGCGTCTGTCTCGAGCGACAGCGACGTCTAGTGAACTTCACTGCACCTGATCCTCCTCTGTGTGACCTTCTCTTCACAATATCGCTCCATCTCACAGCCGACGATGACCAAGGACTTGTTCTGGATCAATACAAATTCGAGTACTGAAAAAGTAGGACAGAGTACTAAAGCACAGCGATCCATTATTCAAAGCCAGGTGCAGCGAGGGAGACCTCGAAAGCGCAAATCAAAGGCGACCACTTCTTCTTCAGTATCTGCGAAACCGCCCAAAGATGTCGATAAACCCAAGGAGCTGTACGATCCGGCAGTGCTTGGCATGTCCGTCGAAATGGATCCCTTCGACACCGCCTGCGTGCCCATCGACATGACAGCGAAAGGTCTACTTCGATACTATGTCCATCGCTATCACCCATCGCAGTGGCCTGGGCTGCCCTTTGCTCCAAAGATCGGTGCATATTCCTTTAAGAGATCCATCGAAAGAATCCTTACCACATCGGTGGAAGATCAACTTATGATGTACAGCTTACTGACAGCCACATCTAGCAGATTGCAGCATACTGATCGTCTCTGCTTCCCAAATGTGGCAAAAAGGGAAGACCAGTATACGCAACAGGCTTTGCAACTTGTTCGAGAACGTATTGAACAGGACATCACTATTTCTGACCTGGGCCTGAGCATGCTGCTCCAGTGCATCACATTCCTGACCTCTGCCGAGTCGTACAGGGGCAACTACTCGGCGGCAGCCATCCATTTAGCCGCTTGTCTCGCCATCTTGGAGCCTCGTGGTGGGATTATGCAGCTGCAAGACAGGCACGTTCAGGGACAGATCCTCATGGGCGACCTGTTCCTTGCTTGTGTCGATCTGAAGCCCTGTCTATGTGGCTGCGATTACGATCCTGGTCCGGCACATGTGCTTGAGCTCCAGCCCTACGAGTTGTCCGGTACCTGTCATCTCGAGCACGGGGCGAAATTCGTATGCGCAGACTCACTGATTGTAGGACACTTCATGCAGAATCTGGTTGAGCAGATTTTGGAAACATACTACATCAAAACGAATCTGGACACCACATATATGAATTCAAGCAGAGTACACCAGATCGGCCATTGGGTCACGATGCGAAATATGGCTTCACGCAACCAGCTCCTTGGCCTTGAGCTCGTGGACTGCAGGATGCGAGCTCTTCGAGCAGCGCTGGTCATGTGGAGCTTGCTTGCAATGAACTATACTGGCAGAGTAACGACGGTGAAAGTCATGGCGAGTAAGTTGCGAGACATGATGGAGGGGGTGCCAGGAAGCGACTGGAGCGTTCATGAAGGCACCAGACTGTGGATCCTGCTTCTTGGATACAATTGCTCTGCAGACGGCTCAGAGGCTCTAGGATGGTTCCTCGCCGAGAGTCTTCGTGTAACGCCGCTATGCGCAGACCTTGTCCCATCTCGCGGCACTGTTGTTGAGCGACTGGAGCACTTTCAGAGAGCTTATCTATACCACGCTCCTATACAGCGGTACTTCACTGAGCAGATTGGAGCAGCGCTGCTTGGGACGAAATATGATAGCGAAGCGCTCGAGTGACGGAAAGTCGAATGCGCGGGGCCAAGGCCGGAACTTATCGGCTTGTCGACGACGCAGCTCCCACTGATGCAGTCTGTCAACATCAGAAATTGACTAAGCTGGAACTGGCGTTTCTATGTTGGTTGTCACTGCTGAGATGTTCAAGATTTAATGTAGAACGGCGTTGTTGCAAGGAGAAGAGGAATGGATGGTTGTTATTTTTACATAGATATGTTACGCCACAATCTGTGGCGTTGATCTACTTCTCCTCGCTCTCGAAGTTTGTTCGACGTCGTCGTGTGCTGAAGCCAGACTCCAACTTCACCACCACCACCACCACCACCACCACACGCCTGCTATCACCCGTCCGCGCCCTCGTGATTTCTTTTCTTGCGTGCAGCCTGGGCTACGGGTCTTATCTGGTCATCAACCTGCGTGTCTGCTGGCCGCAACGGCACGCATCACGATTCGCATGCGTTGAAATCAAGAAATACACCACCTTCAATGCAGTCGACAACTACTAGTAGAAGCCTGACTGCCACCTCCTCCACCCTCCCTCGACCGATCCTGGCCTGAGCAGCACGTCGAGAGCGCGCCTCCGCGAGGAGCACCTCGACTGCTGGCCGACAAGCGATGCAGCACCAGTACCAGGGAGGGCCGGGGCCTAATATCCCGCCGGCTCTCCCTCTGCATCCTCAGCAGCGAAGAGACTATCACGCATACCATCATAGCCCACAGTCGTCGATGCCGCCGCAGCACTATTATGGCTATAATCCACAATACTATGCTCATCCTCCGCCGCAGCCATATCAATGGCGCCAACCATACCCGCCTCAGCAGTACCTGCCACCGCAGCACATGCAACCGCCATACCAGCGCTCGTCAATCGTTGTCACTTCCCAACCGCATCTCCAGCAGCCGATGACGCCCGTCACACGACAGCCGAACCCTCTACCTGCTCCACCGCCGGCGACGCAATCGCCACGACCCGTGCACAAGTATAACCATCAGCAGCCTCCAGCAGCGACTCCTTCACCCGCGCCGACTCCCAGTGCATCTCTACCTCCTGCTCCGTCTGCTGCTGCAAGTCCAAAAGAGCGTATGGACACGCCTCCGCCTCCGCCTTCGCGCAGGCAGTCTGGTGCACAGAATCCTCTATTGCTACCACCAGAACACAAGCAGCCCTTCTGGCCAGATGTAGGCATATCTTGCTCGCACCCATGAAAGCTGTTCCTCTGATTGCTGACGTAATTAAGCTTCCGTGGTACTCGGTACCAGAGAGCCGAACTGCTTTTCCCACACGCGCCACTCCACGCCGCCGCCGACGACGAAACATCCGCCCACAGAACGACAGCGTTGCGCTACCGGCGCTGGAGAGTTCAGAGGAGAAGGCGCCAGCGCAGAAGGACGAGTCCTCCGTTCAAGCTGACTCGCAAACGCTCTCGAACGAAGAGCCAGCGTCTGAGGCCTCGACCATTGCTGCTCCTTCCGAGCCAGAGACTCCTGCTACTAGCCAAGCGCCGTCCGAAAGCGAGTTCACGACTGCCTCAACGCCCGCGACACCCGCTCAAGCGCCCACCGCTTCTCCAAAGCCAACGCCAACTCAGCAAGCCCACACGAGAAGAGATACCAGGACCGCTATCGCTGTGCCCTCTATACCGGGCATTAGCAAGCCAAAAGAGGCTGCACCGCCAAGAGCATCAAGCAAGGAAGTTTCTGAGAAGGCTGTTGAGGATACCACACCCAAAGCAGAGGCACAACAAGCAACCTCGGACCATGAGGCGGCAGCGCCAGTAGTCGAGGAAGACCCAAAGCCGCCACCTCCAAAGCCCGCTCCTGCGCCAAAGTCTTGGGCAGATTTGGTCAAGCGCAACACAAAGACACAGGCTCCTGCTGCGAAAGTAAATGGCGAAGTCATCACCAACGGATTTCAGCTCCCCAAGTCCGCTTCTCTCGCCGAAGCACTCAAACGGTACCGAGTGCAAGGCGGTGGCGCACTCAACTTTCTCGAACCCCGAGGGCTTGTAAATACTGGCAATATGTGCTACATGAATTCTGTGGGTATACGTGCATTCCGGGCCATACTTCTCGCTAACCACCGACCAGATTCTTCAAGTTCTTATATTTTGCGTACCATTCTACAACTTCCTGGATCAAGTGCGGCAACGGACCGTGCATTCGATGAAGAGCGGAACTCCTCTGGTCGATGCTATGATCATGTTCATGAGGGAATTCAAGGTCTTGGCTAGCGCGGAGTCGGTGGATGCTTTACGCGCGCTGCTTAAACAGGAGCAGCTTGAACAATACGGCGATCCTGTTACGCCTGATTATGTCTACGAAGTGATTCGCAAGCTTCCGCGATTTGCAAGCATGAGAGTACGTCGAAGTTTCATCAGACAGACTATCAGAAGAGACTAACTCCATCGCAGAGAGGACATCAGCAGGACGCAGAAGAATTCCTTGGCTTCTTGCTTGAGGGACTTCATGACGAATGTGTTCAGGTCATGCAAGGCCAGCCTGACGAGCAGCCGAAGCAGAGCGTCTCATTGCCAGATACCGCAATGTCTCCGGGATCTGCCGACGGATGGCTGGAAGTTGGACCTAAGCAGAAAGCATCGGTCACCCGGACGGCTGGGCAGCAGGATGCGCCATCACCCATCACCAAGATTTTCGGCGGGCATTTGCGCTCTGAGCTTCGCGTGCCAGGTCTCAAGGATTCTGTCACGCTCGAACCATACAAGCCGCTTCAGCTGGATATTGGAGCTTCTCACGTCAACAACATCGTGGATGCACTCAAGGGTATCACTTACACCGAGGCGCTTACGGGCGACTTCGGCGGCAAGGGTACTACTGCCAAGAAGCAGGTATTCATTGATAGCCTGCCACCGGTTCTCGTCTTGCACTTGAAGCGATTCCAGTACGATAACAGCTTTTCTGGAACCCAGAAGATTTGGAAGAAGGTTGGATATCCACTGGAGTTGCAGATTCCAAAGGAAGTCTTCCCACCAGCGAAGCGAGCTCAGCTGCAAATTTCCGGCCTTCCCAAATTCAGACTGACCAGTGTTGTCTATCACCACGGCAAATCTGCTGCAGGTGGTCACTACACCGTCGATGTTCTCCGCCAAGACAGCCGAGAATGGATCCGCATGGACGACACAGTCATTCGCCGCATTCGGCCAGAGGATGTTGCAGAGGGAGGGGCAGAGGAAGATCCGAAGATCCTCGCCAAAGCACTGGAGCAGCACAAGGCTGACCAGGATCTCCAAAAACAGCGCAACATGTACCAGGGTTTGGACGAGGCTGAGAAGGAGCCAGAAGAGGAGAAACCTTGGTCCGAGGTCAACGGCCATCCAAGCGGTCACAAGAAGAATTGGAGCAATGTGGCCGCCAATGCCACCAACGGCACATCCACGCCTACAAGTACAACAGGCAAGCGGACTCCAACAGCCAAGAAGGAAGGCGTGCGCGACAACAAGGTCGCCTACATCCTGCTGTACGAGCGCATTCACGATTGATCCACCTCTCTGAACCGCGTACAAGCTCAAATTGCTCTCGACTTACGATCCATACCATCAAGGCCGACGCCTATGCAGAGTTGGCCGCAACGCCTGCCATAATTCTTGGCAACCGGAATCCCACAAACCTCTTGGAGCTCCGCGTCGGCGATAGCAGGCGCTCAGTAACTCACTATCACCCCGAATCCAACACCCTCCGACCACTCACCGGCTCGCGCGACGATGACGACGACACGCCAAAGTGTATTTGTAGGTCAACACTTCCGTGGAGACACTTGACGCTGAACATGTGCGGAATGATCTCAAGAGCTTCGGCTTTAACTTTAGTAGTAGAGGCCTGAGATCTGGCATTGTGTGACGACAGTAATGTGTCTGGTTTCGGATGAAATGTGTGTATAGGATTAGCACCCCCCAAAAATGACATATTATCACAAGAAGTATGGTTTCTTCTTTTTCTATGGGTATGTCTGCTTCTGCTTCTGCTTCTTGGCGAGGTGAAGTTGGCGCTTAACCCCAAATTCGTGACTTCGGTGAGTGGGCCTAGTTGATGGGGAGTTAGGATGATGCTGACTGGGATGGAATAGGTGAAGCGAATGTTCCGTCTATTGATTCAGATCTTGAGTCGAATTTGACGAAGGCGGCTCTTTGAGGTCATGACATGCGTGACCGTTGAG